CCCCCAAATGCAGGCTGGGTTTTACTGAGACAAGTACCTTGCTGATTTCTCATCAACCACCACTTAACGGGCTCGATCGCGTGTCGAGGCTCCTTTGCCCACTCACCCAGCTAAGCAGAATGTCGAGCGGACGTGCCGTCACGTAAACCTTGTGTCCCTATCAAAGCAGCCCAGTTCCCCGAGCCCCTGGCAGCCCCAACACTGGGAGCTGCTACCTCTGAGGGTCCCCAGGAGGAGCAGCCCCGCTGGCCGCCTGTTTCAGAGCCCCCTCTCTGCCTTTCTCATGGGTTGTACACCCCAGACCTTGTCCTCTCAGAATGTCCCCTGGGGTATAAGCACCTCACAGTGCACTGGCGGCTGCCACGGCAGGACGTTTACTGTACCTGGTGGCTGTGAACAAAGCCCTGTGGCCTTCTGGGTGTAGAAGGAAGTGGCCTGTGGTGGCCATGACTCCAGAGAGATCTGCCTCCTCTTCCAGAAACCAGCTGCAGCCCATAAGGTCCATGGTTTTGAGCAGGCAGTGGCTGACTTCTGAGGCCGGATACAGGAGCAGGCCAGCTCGGTGGTGGTGAGACACACTGGTGCAGGCCTTACAGCAACAGCACAGGTGCCTGGAGGGGAGGACTCGCCCGTGGCCTGCCTCTCCCTGAGGGCGGTGCAGGAAAGCCAGTACTTTCAGAAAGGCCTGAGCCCCTGAGGGGTGGGGCGAGAGGCCTGACAGCATATCCTGGTGGCAGAGGGAACTGGCACTTATGGAGAAGGAAGTGGCACTGTTGAGGACGGAGGCCTGCCACTGGGCCAGCTACAACCTACAGTTCGGGAGGGCCTGGCCACGCTGCTGACCACAGCTCAGGGCCATTCTGCATGCGAAAGCCCAACAGTGGGACAGTGAGCTGCAGCGACGGTCCAGGGCCACACCTTCCTGGGACACTGTCAGGAACTGCGGTAGGCGACATCCTGCCCTGGCTGTTAGCTCGGCTGTGCCCTGGGGGGTGGGCATCGCCCTTGTTCTTCCTGGAACTGGACTCTTCCCCCACTCCAGTGGAGCTCACACCCCAACCCCACCGCCAGGCAGCCCACCTAGCCCTGACACAGCTTCCTCTCCCTACCTGGCAGGAGACCAGGTGCTGTGTCCTCAGAGAAGCTGGCCAGAGATGTGCAGGGGCTGAGCCTGGGAACCCACAAGCTGCTGGGCAAGAAATCAAGGCAGCCCAGGTGGTACAGCAGGAAGGGCAGCAGCTGGTGGACAGTGGTCACTTCATGTCTCTGGAGGTACGAGCACAGGGGAGTCAGGGTTGAGCTGGGGAGGAAGCCCAGTCACTCAAGGCCTTCAAGCCCCTAAAGGGCATGAAGACCAGCAGCCAGGACAGGTGGCAGTGGGTGGAGGGAGGCGGAGAGGGGAAGGCCCAGGCCGTGAAGCCTTTCCTCATCTCCTCTGCAGGGCATCCCTGGCCCTGACCTACCTGCCCGCTCCACCTGACCCCCCAGGTAACAAAGTGTCTGCACAAGCTGGCAGGGCAGTGCAGGCACTCAAGGAGCCCTGGGCCCTGCAGAAGCTGCATAGGAGCTGGACCATGCCGAGGCCTGGCTGGCCGCCCAGGAAGGTTCCTGCTGACCCCAACTGTGGGCTGAGGTGAGGCCCTAACCTGTACCAGCTGCACTAACCTGTACCAGGCTGCTCCGGCCAGGGGCGGAGCCTGCCGCTCCTCCGCTGTGCAGCCTTCCGGGCAGGTTGCAAGGGGAGAGAAGAGGCTCTCAGCATCCCCAGGGACAGCGGCTCACCTGGCTTGCTTCGCTCCAGCACTCGCTGTCGGACATGGAGTTGCTACTGGGAAGATACCTGCAGCTAGAAATGCTGCTGGTGACCCTGGCAGATGCTTGCACACCTGCAGCAGAAGATGGGGTGAGCGGACACTGGGCAAGAGCTCACCGGGAACTGGGGGCCCGAGGGCTTCTAGGGGGAGCAGCCCACCATACACAATCCTCCTCTGATCCTTCAGAAACCCCTGTTCTTTCCTCTGTCAGCCTCAGTATCATCCCAAGGCTGGTAGAACAGGGTGGTTGGAGGAGAGGGCAGTTTGAGTTAAGGCAGCAAGAGCTGGAGAACAGGCAGGCAGGCTCCCTGGGCAGGCTCTGGGGCGGGGAAGACCGGCACGCAGCCTGCAAGCCCACACCTGGCTGGCTCCCTCGCTTCTCTTCAAGATGGACCAGAAGCTGCAGGTGAAGGAGCTGCAACCTGGGAGAGTTGGTAGTGGCCGACCTGCTGGCAGAGGCTCTCGGGAAGCTGGTGGCCGAAAGCACACGTGGCTGAGACCAGGGACTGCAACCTGGTGCCCAGCTGCTTGTACCCTTCACCTCTTGACTCCGTGGAGCAGACCACAGGGAAGCAGTGGGAGTTCCGGGCGTGGGGGGGGGGGGCTGGGGAAGGAGGACGTGGGGTGGCGGGCACCTAGCCCTCTTTCCAGAGGCTCCATCCTGTGTGCTGGCCCTGCCATTTCCTGGGCCCCATCTTGTACTTTCAGGATGCAAAGGTGCCCCTGCCATGGAGGGTTTGAAGTTTAAGAAGCAGTTGTTGCATGGGGTGGGGAGGAAGGGGGTTGAGCCTCTCTGCTCAGGTACATTCCAGGAGACTCCTTCCGCAGGGCCCCCCTCCACAGAACCACTGGGGGGGCTCAGAGGGCCATCTGGCACTCTGATGAGGTAGAGTCCCCCAGACCCCTGCCCTAGTGGCATTTTGGGTTATTGGGGCTACATCAGTGTCTGCCTCACCCTGTTGCAGCTGGGGAGACCTGAGCACATATTGTGCACAGCCCAGCTCTCTGCCCTGGGGCAGTTGCTGTGCCCCTTAGGGGGCAGGTTCTGGAGCCTGTTTTGGGACAAGTGGAGATAATATTGAAAGAGGGAGGGGAGGGGAGCGGGGAAGACAGGGTGTGGGGAGGAGTGGAATTCTGTGTCTGCACACACACTGATTAAGCCTGTCTGCTCTGAGTTAATTTTCCAGGCCAAGCAAGGACACGTCTGCGGGAGTGTGGACACGTCTCAAGACCAGCCTCAGGACACCGGGAGGCGGTGAGGCCAGGCACCCAGGAGGCCGATAAGGAGCTCGGGCTGGGCATCACAATCTCCTGGCAGCAGTGAAGGCTGCTCAGTACCGAAATGTTTTGTTCAACTCACTGTAAAAAGGCAGCTGAATGGAATGTTAAGGTGTTTCCAGATTGCCAACTCTAATTAAAATGCACCTAAAACAAATTCCAGTCTCATTTCGCATTCAGTGATGATGGGCCCGAGTGCTGGTGGATCTTCAGGTTGCACTAGTAGGAGAAAGGTGAAATGGCCACGGCGACACCTGCCCTTTCACTCTCCTCCCTGGGAACTGTTTACCTCGAAGAAGGCCAGTGTGAGGCAGAGGGACCACCCTGGGAAGGAGAGTTTGTGACAGTGGCCTTGACTCAAACTGTGGGAATAGGAGGCCCCCCCA